GGGGGGCCGGCCGCCATCGAGGCCGGGCAGCCGCGCGTGGTGGAGGCGTGCCCCGCCGCCGACGCCGACCACATGCCGTGCGAGGATCCGAGGCTGAACAGCCAGCTGAGCAGGGAGATGAATTACTACCGCGAGAGGCACTGCCCGCCGCTCGAGAACACGCCTCTCTGCCTCATTCCGCCGCCCAAGGGCTACAAGGTCTCCGTCCAGTGGCCCGAGAGCTTGCACAAGGCATGTCCAAAGTTGGAGAATTTCTTGATTTTCAGATTTTGTTTTACAATGTTAATTAACTTATTACAACTCTGCCTAAATTATATGCATTGCTAACTAATTTCAAAGAAAAATTACTCGTGCTAATTTACACCTCGAGACTAATCCAGATCCTAAATCAACTAAACTAGTGATATGCCAAAATACTATATATAAGTGCGAGCCATCCTCACTTTCTAAACTGTTTTTTTAAGGCTGAGTTGGGTTGAGAGTTTGCTTTCTTAATAAAGAGAGACATTTAAATGTAGTTAGTGGTGTGATGTGACAAGAGAGAGATGGAGAGAAATGAGAAGTGTCATATGGATGTGTATACTTTGTGGGTGGTCATATATCATTACTTATGGTGTGTTTGGATACTTTCTAAAATCAATTATGAAACCCAAAATCATGGTTGAAGCAACTATTTGTTGTTTTGGCTGTCAACTTAGTTTTGTAATTGTTTTGGTAGAATTGGAAGTTGATCTGAACTCTCATTTAAACTACACTAAATATGACATAAAGTAAATATATCAATATGATGTTGAATGGTTGGCAGATTTAAGCATGTGGGAAGGAGGTTCATCTCTTACTCTGGGCATATGGAAATACATAGTCAGTCTATTGAATGAATCTTCATATCCTAAGAGATTAGTCATTGACTCTTAGTTGGGAGATATCTCGGACACTAAAATAAATTGTGAAGTAAATACTATAAAAGTCAACAATCTTACCAGGATGATAATGTAAAAAATCTTTGGATTGTAAGTGTATTCTAAGTCTACAATCTTAACGGGCTGACACAAAAAAAAATCTTTACATTTTAAGTGCATTGTAATCAGATTCTATTTTGTAAGTAGAATGTTGAATCAAAACTGAAAAACTTTTATGGAGTAGCATTACTAAGAAATCGAGCTGGGATTTTTAATATTACCTCAGTCAAATTTCTAATAAGAAATTCCTATTTATTTTAGGGCAGTCATTAGTGGGACACTTTTTTCAATTATGGTGCCTTGTGCCAGTTCTACATAGGGAGCTATATGTTAGTGTGTGGCAACTGGATACTGATCACATTTGGATGATAGAAACTTGGTTGTGAGTGTTTTCTGGCTTGTTATTGGCTCAGGTTTATCTTGTTAGCCTATAGTTTCTGTAAGATTTTGATGTTCGAGTAGAGGCCTTTTAAAAATAATGATTGCATTTTAAGTAGCTGGTGATGTAATAGAATGCTTTTAAAATTATCTAGATGCCTAGCTTTGGAGCAACCTATGGCCTAGGACATTTGTTTTAAGAACCTAGGTTGAAAAAATGTTTGCATCCAGAATGTAGGCAATTATGTGTTTCAGAAAAATGTTTTTAGAATGTTGTTGTTGTTGTTGTTTGTCATTTAGTGATCCACCTATCTAAAAGCACCAACATGTTCTCTGTAGATATGGCACAGCAACATGCCATACAACAAGATTGCTGATAGGAAAGGTCACCAGGGATGGATGAAGCTTGAAGGCCCTTACTTTATATTCCCTGGAGGTGGAACAATGTTTCCAGATGGAGCAGAGCAGTATATTGAAAAACTTGGTCAATACATTCCATTGAGTGGCGGTGTTCTGAGGACTGCTCTTGATATGGGATGTGGGGTAGGATCTATTTTCCTGTTTCCTTTTAATAGCTTATTACTAGAAATTATTGTTGTTTAGCATGAAAAATATTTCTCATGTTTCACAGGTTGCTAGTTTTGGAGGATATTTACTAGCTCAAAACATATTAACCATGTCTTTTGCTCCAAGAGATTCACACAAATCACAGATACAATTTGCACTTGAAAGAGGAGTACCAGCTTTTGTTGCCATGCTTGGAACTCGCAGACTCCCATTTCCTGCTTTTGGCTTTGACTTAGTCCATTGTTCTCGGTGTTTAATCCCTTTTACAGCCTACAGTAAGTTCTTTATCGCGGCTGACCTTTGCATAGCTTGCAATCTTCTAAATAGACGTCACTGCCCTAATGCAGAAACCTTGCCTTGCAGATGCAACTTATTTTATTGAAGTGGACAGATTACTTCGCCCTGGTGGATATTTAGTCATCTCTGGTCCCCCTGTTCAGTGGCCTAAACAAGATAAAGAATGGTCAGATCTCCAGGCTGTGGCAAGAGCTTTGTGTTATGAACTGATTGCCGTAGATGGTAACACTGTGATCTGGAAAAAGCCAGCAGAGGAGACGTGTCTCCCCAACCAAAATGAATTTGGTCTAGACTTGTGCGATGATTCAAATGACCCAAGTTTTGCTTGGTAATTTCCAGTAGGCTATTGCTTGTTAATTTTTCCTCTAACTATCTTTGCTTCACATTGCTCAACATTGATAATGTATTAAACATCTATTTTTTATGCTTACTACATATTTCTGTATCATATGGACCTGGTCATAATAGCACTCGAGAGAATGCTATTTGTGTATTAACTTCTTGTAGTGTTTTCTTGAGATTCCACCAATGATATGGATTTATTTGCAGGTACTTCAAATTGAAGAAATGTGTCACTAAGATATCTTCTGTCAGAGGTCAATATGCTATTGGCATGATTCCCAAGTGGCCAGAAAGGCTAACTGCTCCCCCACCAAGGTCCACAGTCCTGAAAAATGGTGCTGATGTATATGAGGCTGACACGAAGCGATGGGTAAGGAGGGTTGCATACTATAAGAATTCTCTCAAAATAAAGCTGGGGACTCCAGCAGTACGCAATGTTATGGACATGAATGCATTTTTTGGGGGATTTGCGGCAGCACTAAATTCTGATCCTGTGTGGGTAATGAATGTTGTTCCATCTCAAAAGGCATCAACTCTTGATGCGATCTTTGACAGAGGTCTTATTGGAGTCTATCATGATTGGTGAGTTTGTTGTTGAGGATTTCAAGTGTTTCTATTAAAAGGACTTTCTGATTTATCTTTTAGCTTGTCTTAATCAATGTTACCTTCCTTCCTTTATAACATTGTTAAGTGTTTGAGATGATTAGAAAACCAGGTTAGTGTGGGATTTATTTTTATTTTTTATTTTGTATTTGTTGATAAAGATTTTCCAAACTGTAACACCAGAGACTATTTCGTTCAACTAAGGGTTAACTGAAAATTATTTTGCTTACAAGTTGATCCTGGTCTACAGTTTGACTTGTTTTCCATGCCTGTGGCTTTTCTTTTCCAGGCAATTACTGCTTTCCACTATATTTTATCATGTACTTTTCCATGTATGTCTGTGTATCGGAATTTGTCTCTATGATCCAGTTCTCATTCAGCTTTAGTATCTTGGATCTAAGTTGCTGCTGAAATATGCTCAATTAAGCTAAAAATGGAACACATGGAACATTAAATGATTATTTAATTGATTTTGTAATTGTTTTTTAGGGAGTCCTCTACGAAAAAAGTAGTCAGAATCTTTAGTTATTTTAATCTGTTAATTGGATCTTTCTTTTAGGTAAAAACTATATTTCAGTGCATTTTGAACATGTATTACAGCTTGTAATGGACAAATATTTGAAATCTAAGTTGTTTGATTACTGTTCCCAGGTGCGAACCTTTCTCAACATATCCTCGCACCTATGATCTGATCCATGCGGCAAGCATTGAATCACTTATAAAAGATCCAGCCTCTGGGAAGAACAGGTATTTTCATTATAAAGTGCTAATTTGAAGTCACAGATCTGGCTTTGTCTACAGTTTCCCAACTGGTTTGGGACTTTTTAGGGATTATGATGATGTGCTTGAATTTGCTAATTTTAAATTTCAGTCATTGTTTTCAAATATTTGATGACATGAACAATTGGAGAAAAAGTCAGCAAATAATTGCTACCTGAACTGACACGTGGCATGTTAATTTCACTTTAGATTTGTACTGAAGCCAAGTATGCTTGTGATTACAATTAATAGTTAGTGCATGTTGATGACCCGAAACCTTATGTATGCTATCAGTGCATCTATGAGACTATGACATGTTTTAACATGATTACTTTTGTTTACTCTAATACGAATTTTTTTCATGATTAAATTGATTGCAGTCAATTTTTTAAATATAAAATTTTATGGTCTACTTCTGCGACTGGGTTATATTAGTTTGGTAAGTTTGCATTTGTAGAGGTTGCATCACTGTAGGACACACCGACACAGGCTTGTTTAGATAAATTTCTTTACAAGTACTTATAAAAGAAGAAAATTAAAAGATAAAGCAAATTGAGTTCTCATCAACTTGTGCACTTAAATTTTATAGAAACTCTTTCATTTAACTTATTCAAAAGCTAAGATGCACAGGTTGATTTTAGCTTACGGGAAAGTTAAATTCATTTTGTATTTTATTTTCTTCTCTATACTTAATTTTTTTTACCCAAACCTGGCCATAGGCTGTGTTCATTGGTTTGTCTGAAATTATTGATAAGAAAGAGAGGGTATGGATCAAGGATCGGTTGAACAGATGTAGTTCTTACTTATGAGTTGGCTAGATTGCATGTCAGATCTCAAATTATAACAGCTGCCTCTATACTAATGCAAAATGATTACCCATCATGATTTATATCATCCTTGCAGACTCAACATTTCACGCAAGTAATGAGCTGACTCTGATTACTTCATAACTTCCTTGCAGATGTAACCTTGTAGATTTGATGGTGGAACTCGATCGAATTTTACGCCCAGAAGGCACTTTTGTGGTGAGGGATACCCCTGAAGTAATTGAAAAAGTAGCTCGTGTTGCCCGTGCCGTGAGGTGGAGGCCTACAATTTATAGTAAAGAACCTGAATCACATGGCCGGGAGAAAATCCTAGTTGCAACCAAGACCTTGTGGAAGCTCTAATTCTCTTCGCACTCACATAGCTGTGTAATTTAGGTAAAATTTTCTTCTCACTGTTTTGGGGATGAGGTATTCAAGGCTATCTTCTCTCTGCATCAAAGGGATGTGGTTTCCTTTCCTGTTCAGTGTTTATATAAAGAGAAAGTAAGGTTAGGATCCGAGATAACGAAAAGATGTGAGACTTTGTGCAGTTTTATATGGAAAGCACAAGCCAGTGTTATATTTTCTCTTAGCCATATGGATCTTTTGTAATTCAGTGCTTTTATTTATCATTGCTTATTTATTGAAAACAGCCATCAATGATCTAATGGGCTATTAACTTTTGTTCTAATTTGTACTGTGTAATTAGTCACCTCCACCATGCCTACGAACACTTCTTCCCTCATCTTCTCGCCAACTACTAGAGTAGTTTTAGTCAGGGCGGTCCAAGCATAAAGCCTGCTTAGCCCTTGCTTTTAGGCTTCTAAAATAGTATATGGTATATATTAGTATTTATACAAGTTTTATTATTAGTTGATTTAATATAATAATAATTAAGATGCATTTTTTTTGATAAATATAGTTCGAACATTGTAGTAGAAAAGATTGTTTTTATTTTTTTAAAAAACCTATTATTTTTTATTACTTTTTATGAAGATTTCGCATCAGAGTTGATTTAAGCATAATAATACATTGGGCCAACCCCAGTTTTAGTTTCTAAGATCTCGATTAAAGGGTGTTTTCATTCACAAATTTTAGTCGATGATGTTAAGTTCTTGTTTAAATGGAGGAATACTGTGTTTGGATCAGTAATAAAGAATGGAACGGAGTGATTTGAAAAGGGTAATATTCGAAACAGAGAACAAACACGGGAGTAATGGGAGAAGGAAAAACTAATACGTAGCAGAAGTATAATAAGATTAAAAAGTCAATACACATAACAAAATACTTAGGCTCCATCACATTCCTTCAAATAATGGAGTGGAATGAGTTTCATTCCATTTTTTAATTAAGAATATCTTAATTTACAAAACTCACAATGCTATATTGCTATCTATTACTTACCTTCCCATTTCATATCTCTATTCTATTTTCTCCTCTCAATTCAAACATATAAAACAGGGATTATTTATAGAAATTAGTGAAGTCCAACTTGTTGACTAATGTGTTATAAATGTTTAGTAGTGCGTTTTAACTTGTTGAAAAGATGTATCAACTTTCTTGTATGTGTTTAAACTTTAAATCCCAACCGTGTTTAAATGTACCGAGTTTGATATAGACATCCAATAAGAAACTTGTAATCTGAAACTTAGATTCAATTCCTAAGAGAACTATATTTTATACTTTTACGTAATTTGGAAGCATGCTACAAAATGACTTATTTACATTATAATAAGCTAATTTAGTGATCGATGTAATAAAAGAAACAATGCATGTGGACAAACTTTTTATTTCTCGACTACTTTTTGTTCAAAACTAAATATAAGATTCTTACTTTTGACTTATAACTGTTAAAGTGACCACCATTTGTTGCCAACTCATGAATCTTAATTAAAATGAGCAAAATTTTACACCACATTTGGATAACTGAGTAATGCTATTATTAATTATTTTAACATCTCAAAATCAAGCCAAAAACATGCGAAAACTGACATATAACTGTAGCAAGATCGGTCAAATCATAGCCCACACAATGAACATCTTCACAAAATCAAGTCCAAAGGAATCATTCACAACAAATCAATTCCTCTTATATCAACTAACAAAAATTCATTGACTTGTTAATTTAGATATGCATTTTCAATGAAAATGTCAAGGAACAACTAAAAAAAATTGATATCAGAAACTCATGATGCTCACAAGTAAAATAAATATTGTTCTACTCAAATTAAAAGAAGAAGGAAGAATTGTTTTGATTCTGCTGCACACTTCCTACGAATACATTAGGCCTTTTATAGGCCAAGGTTCACAATAAAATATTAAACAAAAAACAAGACAACGTTTAGTGGTCATTCAACGTGCAACCTTAGTGCTAATAAAATAATGAGCATTATTCTTAGTGCACTGATCATTATACTTAGTGCAATGAGCATTATACTTAGTGCCTTCTCCACCAATAATAATTGGTTTATTTTACTTGGTTTATTTTCCACATTGCCTCCCTTAAACCAAGTTTATCAGATTTTTGTCATTCCAAGCATTTTCTTTAACTTATAGAATAATTCAGCTTTTAATGGCTTTGTAAAAATATCCGCAATTTGTTCTTCAGTGTGACAGTAGTTTATCAACACTTCTTTCTCAGTTACCAGTTCTCGGATTTTATGAAACCGAATATCTATGTGCTTAGACCGTTCATGAAATACAAGATTTTTGCATATTGCAATTGCTGACTTGTTATCACAAAATATCACTGTGGGATTATCTTGCTTCTGATGCATTACTTCAAGCATTCTTCTCAGCCACACAGCTTGGGTTGCACAACTTGCTGCTGCTATATATTCTGCTTCGGCAGTTGAGAGCGCCACCACTTGTTGCTTCTTTGATGACCATGATATTGTACCACTTCCAAGATTGAATGCATATCCTGACGTGCTTTTCCTTGTTTCTATATCTCCTGCCCAATCACTATCTGTATATCCAACAAGATTCACATCAAAGTCTTTATCATAGAAAATTCCTTCTGTCAGAGTACCTTTGATGTATCTGAGAATTCTTTTAGCTGCCTGCCAATGAGAATCTCGAGGTTTTTCCATGAATCTGCTGAGTAGTCCAACTCCATAGACAATATCTGGCCTGGTTGCAGTTAAATATCTGAGGCTTCCAATCAAACTTTTATAGAGAGTTGGATTGATTTTCTTCCCTTCAATGTTACTTGTCAGCTTCAACTTTTCTTCAACAGGTGTTGAAATCGGCTTTGAATTCTCCATCTTGAATTTCTTTAAAATATCACCTGCGAATTTCTTTTGAGAAATGAAAATTCCATCATCTCGCTGATCAACCTCGATGCCTAAAAAATAGGACATTAGGCCCAGATCCGTCATTTCAAAACTTTTAACCATAGCCTCCCTGAATTCTGCAAACATTTTTGGATTATTGCCAGTAAAAATTAGATCATCAACATAGAGGCACACAATAAGAATATTGTCAGGATCAACTGATTTGATATACAAAGTGTGTTCAAATGGACATCTCTGAAAACCATTATCCACAAAGTAAGAATCAATCTTCTTATACCACGCTCTGGGTGCTTGCTTTAAACCATACAATGCCTTCTTCAATCTGTAGACTTTATCTTCTTTTCCTTTAATTTTATATCCTGCAGGCTGCTCAACATATACTTCTTCTTCCAAAGTTCCATTCAGAAAAGCAGATTTAACATCCATTTGATGAATTTTCCAATTATTTTGAGCTGATATAGAGATAAGCATACGAATTGTATCTAATCTCGCTACAGGAGCGAATACCTCAAAATAATCAATACCTGGCTTTTGTTTGTACCCTTTTGCTACCAACCTTGCTTTAAAACGATCAATTTCTCCATTGGACTTGTACTTAGTTTTATACACCCACTTTACTCCAATTTGCCTTTTGTTTGCTGGTAAGTCTGTCAGCTCCCATGTTTGATTCTTTTCAATGGCATGAATTTCTTCATCCATTGCTTTTCTCCAATATTGATTATTTGAAGCTTCTTCAAAAGTTACTGGTTCACAATCTGCAAATAAGGCAAAATTGATAATTTCTTCATCAGATGGGTCATTATCATTACCCACAACATAATCCTCCAATCTGGCTGGTAATCTCCTTTGTCTTTGTGGTCTGCTTGATGTTTCTGGCTCATCAGGTGTTGTATCTACATGTCCATTCTCCTCTTCATAGTTTTCTGAATTTACAGCAGGTACCTTTTGGGCTTTGAAAGACCAATCCCACATTCCTTCTTCATCAAAGGTCACATCTCTGCTGATAATTACCTTCTTTGTCACTGGATTGTAAAGCTTATACGCCTTTGAGTTGGTGCTATAACCAATGAAGATGCACTTCTCTCCTTTGTCATCAAGCTTCTTTCTGAGTTGATCTGGTACATGAGCATATGCTATACACCCAAAAATTCTGAGATGCCGAATTGAGGGCTTCCTTCCACTCCAAGCTTCTTCTGGTGTTTTATCACAAACACTCTTTGTTGGACACCTGTTCAAAATATACACAGCAGTAGAAACTGCTTCTGCCCAGAATTCTCTAGGCATTTGTTTTGCCTTTAGCATGCATCTCACCATATCCATGATTGTTCTGTTCTTCCTTTCTGCTACTCCATTTTGTTGAGGAGTGTATCTAGTTGTCATTTGATGTTGAATTCCATGATGGTCAATGAAATCTGCACAGGCAAGGTATTCTTGACCTCTATCTGTCCTCAATGCTTTAATCTTGCAGCTACTTTGTTTCTCCACTAATGCCTTAAATGACTTAAAGGCATCACAAGCTTCTGATTTCTGTTTCAAAAAATACACCCAAGATTTTCTGCTAAAGTCATCAATAAAAGTAATGAAATACCTGCTACCGCCATGTGATGGTATCTCAACCATGCATAAATCTGAATGCACAATCTCTAATGGCTTTCTTGCTCTCCAGGACTTTCCAGTTGGAAAGGATTCTCTGTGTTTCTTTCCAATTTCACAAGTCTCACATATACCTTTAGGAATGTTTATAACAGGCAAACCAGATACATACTCTTTTCTAGATAAAAAATTTAATCCAGAAAAGTGATAATGTCCAAAGCGCATATGCCACAGCCAATCATCATTTTGTATAATGGAGCTCAAGCAAGGAATTTTATCGTATTGAACATTCAAAGGAAATAGTCGATTAGGAGACATTTTTACCTTGGCTATCAATCTCCTATTTTTGTCAATCAACATACAGTAGCCATCATGAATCTGTATGTTGTAACCTTTTTCTGATAATTGTCCCAAGCTCAACAGGTTATGGTGAAGACCAGGAGCATAGAAAACATCAGAGATGAAATTTTGAGTACCGTCCTTCAATCTAATTGCAACTTGACCTTTTCCCAAAATCGGAATATTTGAGTTATTTCCAAATTTTACAGTAGATTTTACTGTTTCATCTAGTGAGGAAAATAACTCCTTTTTCCCACACATGTGGTTGCTGCAGCCAGTATCTAGGTACCAAATAGCTTCATTGCCTGAAAAATTATTTGTTGCTAGAAGTAAGGTTTGTGGATTATCAGAAATCTCACCAGTTTGCTCATATTGATTTTCTGCTATATTTGCTTGTTGTTTGAATCTACAATCTGCAGCTCTGTGCCCGAACTTTCCACAGTGATAGCAATTGAAATTTGTCCTCTCCTGGTTGGTGAAACTGCCTCTTCCTCTTCCACGGTTGGTAGATCTAACATTGTATCCACCTCTTCCTTGATTAGGTGGCCTGAAATTGTTGTCTCTCCATTGTTGATTAAAATTACAACGACCTCTTCCTCTGAAACTACCACGACCTCTTCCTTTGAAATTTATATTTCCTCCTTCACGACCTCTACTGTCTTCATTTCGACTGGGTTCTGCTATGTTGGTAAAATTCACCTGGCTTTTCAATGCTTCTTCATTTATTTTCTCAGTTTTCTCCAAGATTCTGCTCACATGGCTTTCAATGCTACCTTGCAATTCTGCAACTGTCATGATTTCTATGTCGTGGGACTCAATTATTGTAGTCACCACATGATCAAACTTCATCGGCATGGTGCGTAGAATTTTCTCCACCACCTTGCTTTCAGGAATATCTTCTCCATACACCCTCATTTTGTTGACGAGATCTGTAACTCGTGAAAAATATTGTTCCACGGATTCAGAATTCGTCATTTCATATCTTTCATATTCCCTTCGTAAAGATTGCAACTTGGATTTTTGAGCTTTCTCAACACCTTTGTATGATAGCTTCAAAATGTCCCACGCTTCTTTGGCTGTTTTGGCATTTGCTATTTTGCCAAAAATTGAATAATCTACACCTTGATGAATTTGTGATAGCGCCAACTGGTCCTTCCTTTGAGTTGCATCATCAGCTCCTTGTTGTAAGCCTGGTTCAATAAAGCTCCAAATATTGTGAGCTTTCAAATGGGTGGACATCAACAATGCCCAATAATTGTAATCCAGTTTCCCATCTAATTTGGGACCGGACCAAACAATATTGTAGTTTGTGGTCATCTTTCTCTCTCAAATAGACTCTGAAAATTTTGATAAAGTGAGAACTCTCTTGTTCCTCACACACTCAAAATTTTTTTAAAAAATCTTTTCACTTTCTCACAAACTCACAAAACTAATGCTGGATCTAACCTGCTCTGATACCAATTTGATATCAGAAACTCATGATGCTCACAAGTAAAATAAATATTGTTCTACTCAAATTGAAAGAAGAAGGAAGAATTGTTTTGATTCTGCTGCACACTTCCTACGAATACATTAGGCCTTTTATAGGCCAAGGTTCACAATAAAATATTAAACAAAAAACAAGACAACGTTTAGTGGTCATTCAACGTGCAACCTTAGTGCTAATAAAATAATGAGCATTATTCTTAGTGCACTGATCATTATACTTAGTGCAATGAGCATTATACTTAGTGCCTTCTCCACCAATAATAATTGGTTTATTTTACTTGGTTTATTTTCCACAAAAATTCAAGAAGAAATAGGAGAAGCACTCACAATATTGGTTAAAAAAGTAGAGCTCAGAACATTTTTATTCATACATGTAAGAAGATGAAAAGCATTTGACCCATCAAATGCTGGGATTTTCATCACAGCTCTCAAAAATCAAAATGCACCAGCCGGGAATCGAACCCGGGTCTGTACCGTGGCAGGGTACTATTCTACCACTAGACCACTGGTGCTTAGATAATATTAGTATCTTACTTTTTAGTAATTATCTAATTGATATGGGTTTCGAGCCAAACTGTTTTATGGCACCTAATGCCTATTTTATCATTTTAATTTGAGACACACACATATATATATATATATATATATATATATATATTCACTTAGCTGACACCAAATATGCTCTCCATCTCATCATTTGTGCTCTATGGAAATGGAATTTACCTATTTGATTTCAATATCCTATATTCCTTTTTTTTTTTTCTTTTCAAAATGATATGATGAACTGGATAGATGGAATATAGCTGCAAATCCCAAACATCCTTCTCACTGGCCTTTGTTTTTTTGCCTTACATTATTTGTGGCAAACTAGAAATGATTACATTTTTAATCAACATGTGATGAGGCCTAAAGAAATTAATATAAAGGTTAGAAGGAGAGTACAACATGTCCTAGCAAGCAATAAATTTATGGAGTCTTTGAGTAATAACAGCTTGTCTACTCAAAGAAATGCACATATTGGTTTGATGCCTTCATGCCATGGATTTGTAAAGCTAAATGTGGATGGTGCTATGGATGCTTCAAATGAAAATGAAGATATTATTGTTCAATTACACTTACCGAAATATCAACTCCTATATATAAATATGAATTTTTATCTTATAGAAGAGTATGTTTAGAGATTTCTTTTTATGAAAAGATTTGTATGAATTTTTTTGAATATCTTATTTAATTTGATTTTTGTTTATCATAATTGTTTATAAATTAAATATTAATATTTTAAAATTAATTATCAATAAATAAAAACAACACTTCTTTCAAGGATGGCAAATTCAAAGTGGAACTCCCCGTGTAAAAGCCTTCAAATTTTGGTAATGAGTCAAGTCTCAAAATCTGAAGCTTCTCGAATATAATCTCATTTTCAAATTTATCATCACCTTCTTTGTGTTCATCTTCATCTTTATCTTCATCACTCTCTCCAGACACTATTTCTTTCACTGATTCACATTCCTGGATTGTGATTTCCTCAAGGTTCATTAACTTTTTGCCCACTGAAGATGTAAATAAATACTGCAATTTGGGACAGTTGGATATGGACACTTTTATGAGACAATAGAAGGATATTGTAGAAGGAGAATGTACTAATGCTGTGAAATGAATACATCTGACAACATTTAATACGTGGAGCTCCTCACAAATTGTGTTTAACCATGATGAGTCTTCTGACTCGATGGACTGGAGCTCAGATATGTGGTATAGTGTCAATATTTTTAATTGTCTCATCCCGTCCACACCAATTTTGGGCTTTTCAGCAAGGAATATCCCAGGACTTTTCCAATATGCTAAACCCAAATGTGTTAAATCAGGTGCTTTTTGGAGAGGCAACACAGGTTTCTTATTCTCATCAGCGTCAAACAACAGGGAAATTTCGTTTAAATATTCGAGGCCTTCTCCAAATTGCTCAGACTTAAACCTTAAACTTAATGCCGAAATGTGTTTCCAATCAAGTTTCAATTCCTTCAGGTTGGAAACGACCTAACAATTAAAGGCAAAAGACTGAATTAGAAGATGAAATGAGAAAAAAGATAAGAGTTGAGTTCAGATTCTAGGATGCTTACCTTCAGATTTGAGACAAGAGGAAGTCTGTTAATTGAAGCACTTTGAAATAATTCCAACTCATCACAAAACAACACATTTAATTTATTTAAGGTGGGGCATTCCAGAGTAAATGTTTGAGGGTAAAAGTAAGTGAGCTGTGGCAAGTCACAAAGATCCAACTTCTCTAAACGAGGGAACACAAACTTTTCTGCTGTGCCTTCTTCCTCTTCAACAATTTTTTGCAATTTAAAACAAAATTTCATTTCGAGTTTCTCAAGCTTCTCAAGATTCTTTGCCAGCAAAGAAGGAAATAAAGTTTGGAGGTTTTCACACTCACTAACAAAGATCTCTTGCAGATTTCCAAACATCAGAACTCCATGACTATTCTTTTCCCACACACGCTTCAGCTGCGATAGCCCTTGTAAAGTCAATTTCTTCAACCGGGATGGTGTTTCTATTATCTCAGTGTCATTCATATCAAAAATCACCCTTACTTTGTCGCTATTCCGCACTTGCAATTCTTCCAAGTTGTTTAAATGAGGAAGTATAGCAGATGGAATTGCATATGGTAAAATGCACTTGTCCAGCTTTAAAGTTACCAACTTGCACAACCATTTGTTTTGCTGACCAACTCTACCATGATGTTGCTTTAAACAATTAAAAGAACACTTCTTGCCCAAGCCTTTAAAAAATCCCTGTAAATATTACAATAAGTTTATCGTCAGACATATCGTATATATCCATTGCTCCCTCTACATGACTGTGTCTGGCTATATGTTAGACTTGGTCATGCAAACCAAAAATGCATGGAAGCGCCTGTTCCTTTATTTAGGAAAAATAGGAAAACTAATAAAATTAAAGCAATGTATGAAAATAGGAAAACAAAATTTGGAATAAAAACTTTGCATGCATGTATAAATAGCACCATACTATAACTACAAAAAACATTCCAACTACGAGAAAGAAAAAGAGAGAGAGAGAAAAGAAGAGTTTAGAAAATAATATTTTATTATCTGAGTGTATTTAGGTTGTGAGTTGAGTGTTTGCATACACTTTTATATTTTTTCCTTTCTCAATAATATATTTGCAGCAACCTCGGGGATGTAGGCACAATTAGGCAAATTCCATTATCAATTTTGTGTCTTATTATTCCACATTTATCTTTACTTCTCGCAAATCTGATTATAAGAAACTCTGCGTGATTTCTCAACACTATAAACAATGTTTCAAATTCACAATGCTTTTCTTAGCATCTTTGGGGCGAAAAACTAGACCATGTAATAAAATGGATTAGAGTTGAATCTAAGATGCAAATCTTGATTTCCGTTCATTTATCTTCCATTTCATAAAATCCCGCGTCTATTACATGGTATGTATGAGCGGTTCTTATTATTAATTTGAGTAAAATAAACCAATATTATGTAAAAATTAATATGGATTAAGTAACTTCTAAATGAGTATGTTTTTATTTATAAAATCAGAAGTCTAATTTAACGAAAGTCATGAATTACAATTGGTGTCAAATTTCATGCTTACACAATCTCATTTCTTTATTCTAATTCATAAGGCTGAGATTTATTCATCAGGCTATATAGATGACTCCCTATTGTTTGTTTTCTCTTTATATATATATAAATTTTAAAATATTAGTAAAAATCAAATTGCAGAGTAATCAATCTCTCAAATAGATATCATATTTTAAGAGATATTATTCATTAACTCAAACAAGAAATAGTCTAAATTCATTAAAAAAAAAAAAAGTGTATATCAACTTATGCATATTGATAGAGTAACAACAAGAATAAATGGATGAAATCGTAAATAGGAAAAAAAAATGGTTTAAAGCCTGAGTACTAGTTCATTGATTTTAATTAAATTTAGCACCAACCAAAATCATGATTTGGTACTGCTTCTAGTTACTGCACGTGTCAGAACACATCAGACAAGAACCCTTCAGGCTTCAGGTACAAGTTACATGAGCTAAGATTAATGTAATATTACTGTTTCACAAAACTGGGTATGATAGCCTGTGGAATTGTTGTGTTTACTGCTTATATGCATTAAATACAAGTGATTGGTAAATTTCTTGAAAGTAACTTCTCATAAAGTCTGGGCATGTTTTTTTTTTTTTTTTTTTTTTTTTAAAAACACATGTCAAAATATACTCTACAATGATGAGATATTGTCTACTTTGGGCCTAAGCCCTCACGGTTTTGCTTTTGGTCATCACCCAAAAAACCTCTCTATCATTGAAGTATTTTTGTGCTATATAAGTTGTTATTTCTTGTCTTATTTTATCGATGTGGGACTTGTTTGTATCCCAACAATCCTCTCCTCAAACAAGGGACCTAACCTTTCATGTAACAAAATCTGTCTTTATATATCACATTATATGTTATGAGTTATGAGGGGTTATGAAGGTTGTAACCTTGTGGCTCTGATACCACTAATGGGGTTATTTTATAGTATTTGTCCGAGGAGATATTTTATGAGAGTTTTTTTTAAGGTTATTACACAAGCATACTCCACAATGATGAGATATTGTCCGCTTTGGGCTTAAGCCCTCACGGTTTTACTTTTGGTCATCACCCAAAAGGTCTCTCTATGAGTTAAGTATTTTTGTGCTATATAAATTGTTATTCTTGTCTTATTTTATCGATGTGAGACTTGTTTGTATCCCAACAATAAGTTAGAGGAACCTCAGACTAATTGATTTACACAGTCAGTGTAGTAAAAACATGACTAAGCATTCATAATTTTCATTTAAAAATTTAGAAAACACCTCATATTCTATTAGAAAATGAATGAATTTAATTCAATAAAATACATTTATTATTAAATATCATTTGAAATAATATCTCATTTATCTTTATTATTTTAACAATACAGGTGAAGCAAGTATTTTCCATGTTTGAAGAGATATTTTATTAGTATTATTTTTATAAGGTTATTACATAAATATACTCTACAATGATGAGATATTGTCTACTTTGGGCCTAAGCCCTCACGGTTTTGCTTTTGGTCATCACCCAAAAAACCTCTCTATCATTGAAGTATTTTTGTGCTATATAAGTTGTTATTTCTTGTCTTATTTTATCGATGTGGGACTTGTTTGTATCCCAACAATCCTCTCCTCAAACAAGGGACCTAACCTTTCATGTAACAAAATCTGTCTTTATATATCACATTATATGTTATGAGTTATGAGGGGTTATGAAGGCTGTAAAAACAAATCACGCCACCATAAGGAGGAAGATGTCTGTGCTGATGAAGGGTGAAACTGCAAGTTGCCATATCTATGTTCCAGTAGATCATACCACAGAGCATGTTTGTCTACCAAAAAACGCCATTTCCACTTCAAGAGAAGACTAACATTAAAGTTAGTTAAGCATTTAATCCCCAAACCTCCCCTAGATCTTGGTTGACACACCTTGCTCCATTATGGACATGTTTTATGGCATCAATAAAATGTAAAACATGTTCCAAACATGCACAGTATCTGTTTGTGTCAAAATTACACATGTTAATTGACAAAAATATCTATTCACATTCATAAAGTTTACTCGATCGAAATTTGAAAAACTTAAAAATTTTCTTTTAGAATTATGAAAGTTCCACGTATATTTATATCGAGACTAATCTTTGCCCATCAACACACGTGAACAGTATGTGAACTCTTTTCGGTAGAATATGAATAAAAGAGAGTGAAAACTATTTTTCATATGGATCTCTTGTATATATTTTATGCAGTCACTTACTCATTATATAGCAATAAATTATAACCAACTAGCGATATAAAATCACCACTCACGCATCAATAATATCTTCATCCTTTTGTCTTACAATTCGGAACAGTAACAAAATCGTTTGCACGTTGAATGTATTTCCTTATCCATAGACTAATTTATTTAACTACAAATTTGACCAAGTCAATTTAAAGATAAAATCATTCAAACAGCAAAACAACATCTTTAGTTCTTTACCAAAGAGGTTCTCTTTTTTGCTGAAATATAGGAACAGCCAGTGAGTTCCTATCTCTATTATAAAACAAGTCTCTATTATAATCTCTATTACAAAACAAGTCTCTAATTTTAATCAAAGACCTTATCACATTAATTATTTTTCACAAATAATAAATATGATAATGAAACAATAAAATATAATTTTATTAATGCAAACATGATAAATTGAATCTTGGCATACCTCATATTTCTAACATAACTTTCACTATACCGAAAATATGATACTCATTTATATGATTCAGTGTAAAGGCATCAAAACGTACCTCGTTTGACAATTGATTCTGTCACTTTAGGGCCAAGCATTTCTATTTAAAAAATTCTACTTGTAAAACTAATTCTAACACGTGAGATTCAATGCTTCTTTAAGATAAATGTACATTATTTATTTCATCATTATTTCCTTCAAGATCTTTTAAAATATATCTTGACATGGTCCATCATGTACTTTTTCTTTCTCAGTTTAGAAAAATAAGAAAATATTTGTAATCGTAAAAAAAAGCCATTCAAAATCTTAAGTTTTCAATCTTCAATCCTTGGTCATCGATCTTCAGATTGGTGTTATTCGTTCAAAGTTTGCAATCTTCGATCCTCATATTGATTGTTGTACCTATAAAAAAGACTTTAATGCTTAAGTTGGCGAGTGTTCGAAGTGTATGCGTATAATTTCAAGAATGAGCACTCCCTTTGAAGACAAGTGTTAAAATATAAATAGTAAAAGATACGATACCATACACGTAAGAGTAATAAAGAGTATTTAAAATCTTTACTGAGTAATGGTCGGACGATATGTTTTGCTTTTCTCCTCATATTCCATTTATTATTTGGCTATATTCGGTACATAAGCCCCCAAGCCTCGAGTCCATGGAAGAAGAGGTTTGTTTTAAGCCCACCTATAAACATTTTAATCCAAAATCCGTTGGAGAGGTTTTTTACTTAGATGAAATTTGTTGGCTTCTCGAATGAGAGCTTGTCGGCCAAGATTTTATACTTGGAAAAAGTCCATATGAAAGTTTTCACTTGAATGAGAACATGTCAACTTCTCGGATGAAAACTTGTTGGTTGATTTTATATTTGGGAAAATCGATCCATTCAAGAATTTTTACTCAAATGACAACATGTTGGCTTCTCATATGAAATCTTATTGACCAAGATTTTATACTTGGGAAAGTCTATTTGAGAGTTTTTACTTGAATGACAGCATATCGATCTCAGATGAGAACTTGTCAGCCAAGATTCTATACTTAGAAAAATCAATCCAAGTTTTTACTCGAATGAGAACATGTCAACTTCTTGGATTAGCCAAGCTTTTATACTTGGGAAAATCCATCTGCGAGTTTTGACTTGAATGACAACATGTCGGCTTCCCGAATGAGAACTTATAGACCAAGATTTTATACTTGGAAAAATCCATCCAAGATTTTACTCAAATAAGAATATGTTGACTTTTTGAATAAGAGCTTGTTGATTAAGATTTTATACTTGGATTTTAACTTGAATTCGAGAGCATTTACTCAGATGAGATCTTCTCTACCAAGATTTTATACATGAGTTTTAACTTACATCAAAGAGCGTTTACTTGGATGAGATCTTCTCTACCAAAATTTTATACTTGGGTTTTAACCTGCACCCAATAATGTTTACTCAGATGAGATCTTCTCTACCAATATTTTATA